CCTACCACATCCTCACAGCTTCCCCTACCACATCCCCAGCGTCAGCCTGAATCCTCACAGCTTCCCCTACCACATTCCCAGCGTCAGCCTGTCTCCTCACAGCTTCCCCTACCACATTCCCAGCGTCAGCCTGTCCCCGCACAGCTTCCCCTACCACATTCCCAGCGTCAGCCTGTCTACTAACAGTTTCCCCACCACTTGAACAAAACAGCAGTGTAAATGTAGTTTACAATGAGTTTCAGTAATGTGCTTTTAAAAAGCACAGCAGTTACTTTTGTGATCCTTGATCTTAAAGCAGTCCATTTTACATTTCAGAACACAATCAAAAATATGGAGAAATAAATAGATTTATAACTGACATATATCCATACTCACTCATTTACACACTTGCCCAGTTAAAACCCATGCACTCAGCCAGTTATGCTCCAACACACACTCACTCACTCATCCAGTTGCACCCCACACTCACCTAAACACACACGTTCCCAGTTACACATGCCCACACTCACCCAGTTTCACACCCTACACACTCACTCACACTCACCTAGTAATACATCCAGACACACTCATACACAATCACCCAGCTACATACACACTCACCCAGTTACACATCCACACACACAGAATTGTTCACACCCACCTCCCTATGAACACATCCACAGCCTTGTATGCATAATGACACCAATATACCCTGACACACACTCTCTAATGTATTAGTGTAATTGTTTCCTTCACAAATACAGCAAGGGTTTTGGACATTACTGCGTGCACCCCCACTCCCCTCCCCAACCTTTTAGAAATCTAGTTTGGCCCTTACCGTTCAGATGCTCTGTCTATGGAATTAGAATGGGAGTTACTGTATCGAGCTCCGAATGCACTGGACCAGGAGATTCTGAGTTTCATGAACAAGTTTATTGGGATTCTCATAAACATTTACAATATGTCACATGACAGTATAACGATCTGACTTAAAGATTCAGGACCAATAAAAAGTACCAAGAAAACCCTCCAACAGTTCGTCATTAACAATATTTTATGTTCAAGTCACATGTTTCTTAAGAAAAATAAAATTACAAAAGTCTTTTTAATGCAAAGGCAACTCCGGCTTGGATAGCGGTGAGAGAGTGAGAGAGAGATACTGTTAGAGGTGGAGAAAGAGAGAGACGGTGAGAGGGACACAGAGAGAGATACTGTGAGAGAGGCTGTGTGTGTGTGTGTGTGTGAATGAGAAAGAGAATGAGTCTGTGAGAACGTATGACAGAGTAAGAGAGAGGCAATCAGAGGGGTGGAGAGGGAGATGGAGAGACAGAGAGAAAGAGACGTCCAAAGGAAAACTGCGAGATGCAACCGCGAAAGTGAACAAGAGGGGAGAGAGGGAGAGCAAAGGCTTTTAGAAAAGATGAGACTGGAAGGGGCTGCTGGAGGAAAGGGAAAGAGCTGGATAACATGCAGAATAAACAGAAAGCAAGGAGCTGGGGCCATGACTGACGGGAGGGACTAACAAATTACAGCAAAGAAATCAAACAGGAATAAGAAACTGGATGAAATAAAGACGGGGGAGGGAGCAAAGTCACTGAAGACAATGGCTATCAGTCGCAAAAACTTCAGTCTAGATTTAGCACCACAAATAGTCCTGGCTGCTTCTTAGCAACTAACTCACGCTCGTACAACACTCACTCTGAAAGCGAATGAATGTACTATTTACATAGGAAGGAGAGTCTCGTGTGTTCCTGGAAAGATATTGGACTGATATGAAAGGGTGTGTGTAACAAAGGGAATCAGAATGCAGCGTCAGGGAGCTTCGAGCCTCGGGGACGGGGGGAGCAATATTCCGGGAAATGTAGCTGGGTCAGCGCAGCAAATCAAACCAGGCAGCCGGAGCTGACAGAGTAGCACCACAGGCCAGGCGTTTAAAAAGCACCTAATCTTCGGGAAACGCCTTTGTCCCCTCGTTGCTCGGATTCTCCCGGTTAATCTTCACCCACATCTGGCAAAGGCGTAGCTGTTAAGTGATGCAAAATGCAGAGGTTTTAAACCAGAAGCCCCCCACTCCACTTCCCAGAAAATGATGAGTTTAGTGCCCAGACAGTGGAAGGAAAGAAAGCGTTTTTGTTTTTTTTTAGCGGGAGAGAGTTCCCACAGAAAATTCAACGTGCGGAGTGAGCTCAAAACCTGGGAAACAGCAGCAGGAGGCGGTAAAGTATCTGTGATAGAGCCGCGTGCTTTTGATAATGCAACAGAGCAGGTTTTATTGAACCCAAATAACACAGTTTGATATATTTATATATTTTTTTGCACATAGAATGACGAGTTATCCTTGTACATTTTAACAGAGCCACATGCATTGATTCCAAAGCCAGAAGCTGCGGGAAGAATTAAAATATTATACAATAAAATATTTACTTACAAACGTACAAAAATTTGTTTTAAAAAGAAATATCAAAATTGTCAGCACCATTTCTGAGGAAGGTTTTCAATTCAAAACATTTATTTGACGAATTTTTCTTTTTTTAAAAAAACCTATGCATCTGAGACAAGAGAAACATTGCTGGAAATAGAGAGAGAGAGAGAGAGAGAGAGAAGGGTTATCAGTCTGAGAAAGAGAGAGAGAGACACACACAAGGGCCTGGGACTGTTCTCAATGTGGGGGCTGTCTCCATAGGGGATTTACCCTGGAAAGATTTCTCTGACTGAGCCTGAGCACACTCTGGCCTCACTCCCCCAGCCCCGATCAGAAAGACTGTCCACTCCCCTCAGGGCTGGGGGATCGCAAGACCTCGAGTGGTTATCATTTCTTGCGGCGCTGCTTTGAGGTTTGTTTCAGAATCGTTCACTCCCAGGTAAAGATTTCCCCGGGACCAGCTCCAACTCTCGGTCTGTCAATCGCTCATTGAGGTCACTTGTTGTTTACTGCAGACTCTCTCATTCTTCCTCTGTGTGTGTCTGGGTGTCTGTAAGTGTGTGTCTGTGTCTGTGTTTAAACAGTTTTTGTCTCTCTCTGTGAAGATTCGAATAGTTTTATCCCACGAAACAGACTGGTCCAATTTCAAAACCAAACTTCTGGCCGGATTCTCCAAAGTCATTGAACATGATATCGATGAAAGGAAGTTGTTCCACTTTGGGAGTGTTAATCTGTAATATCGTTTTCTGGTAACCTTTCTTTGTCTGTCGAGAGAGAGAGAGAGAGAGACAGTTACAGTTAGAGAAAACCCTCTGAAAGGCTCAAATCTGGGAGGGTTGGTTCTTTAGGAGAAACTGGGAGAGAAAACTGAATGGCCGCTTTCTCCACCCAGACCTAGTTCGGTGGCTTTCAAAGGAGCTCAATGGGAGCAGATTCTGCTGCTGGAGAAAATAACTCATGTTTTCAGAGGAATGGTATTGGAAAAGCAGTGGGATCATCCTCATTCCAAATCCAACATTCACGAAGGCTCCTTAGAGACTACCTTCCAAACTCATGACCATCTAGAGTGGTTAAGAAGGAGTTTAGCACTCTTGCTTTCATTGCTAAGACCTTTGAGTATAGGAGTTGGGCCATCATGTAGCGTTGTACGGGACACTGGTGAGGGCTCTCCTGGAATACTGGTCACCTTGTTATAAGAAAGATTATTAAGTTGGAAAAGGTCTGAGAAAAGATTTACCAGAATGTTGCTAAAACTAGAGGGTTTGGGTTACAAGGAGAGGCTGGATAGGCTGGGACTTTTTCACTAGAGCGTAGGAGGTTAAGGGGCAACCTTATAGAGGTTTATAACATCATGAAAGACATAGATAAGGTGAATGGCAGGTGTCTTTCCCCTAGGGTGGGGGCTTTCAAGACTAGGAGGCATATTTTTAAGGTGAGAGGAGAAAGATTTAAACAGAACATGAGGGGCAATTTTTTTCACACAGAGGGTAGTTCATGTGTGGAATGAACTGCCAGAGAAAGTGGTGGATACTAGTACAGTTACAATGTTTAAAAGACATTTCGATAAGTACACGGGTAAAAAATGTTTGGAGGGATATGGGCCAGGAGCAGGCAAGGTGGGACTAGTTTAGTTTGGGATTATGGTCTGCATGGACTGGTTGGACTGAAGGGTCTGTTTCCATGCTGTATGAATTGATGAGTCTAGAAGGGCAACAGCAGCAGATACTTGGGAACATCAGCCCCTGCAAGTTCCCCTCCAAGCCACTCATGATCCTGACTCGGAAATATATTACCCATCCTTCAGTGTCGCTGGGTCAAAATCCTGGAATTCCCTCCTTAAGGGCATTGTGAGTCAACCTACAGCACATGGACTGCAGTGGTTCAAGAAGGCAGCTCCCCACCACCGTCTCAAGGGCAAAAATGCACGATTTATTGTCACATCTATCATGAAGATACACTGAAAAGTGTCTTGTTGCCACAATCCGGTACCATTTTGAGTTACAATAAGGATAAAAAGAAATTACTTAGATAAGAGTTCATCTCTCATTCTTATTGGGGTCTCAAGCATGGTTTCAGGGCATCTGTAAGGTCTCTGCGAGGTGTTCTGGTCCTCAAGGAGTCCCCGCTCTGGGAACGTCAATGAAAACGCAATGCCCCAGGAGACCCTGGCTCTGCTGCTGCCACTGCCTAGTGTAGGCTCCAGGCCCACCTCCACCAGGAGTCCGGGCTCCAGGCCCACCTCCACCAGGAGTCCGGGCTCCAGGCCCACCTCCACCAGGAGTCCGGGCTCCAGGCCCACC